AAGATGAGATGGCTGAGTGTGTCTGGAGTTGTTTCTGCATCTTCCAATCTGTTCCACTGGTCCTCAGGTCTGTTTCTTTGCCAGTTCCATGCTGTTTTTATCACAGTACCTTTGTAGTATAGTTGCAAGTTGAGGGTTGTGATACTCCCTACCACATCTCTGTTATCTAGAATTGCTTTTGCTATTCTGGGTCTCTTTTTGTTCTAAATGAATTCTTGGATTGTTTTCTCAAGGTCTATGAAGTATGCTACTGGGATTTCAGTTGGGATTGCACTGAATCTATATAGCAGTTTTGGAAGTATGGCCATTTTCACTATGTTGATCCTTCCTACCCAGGACCAAGGGATGTCTTTCCAATTTCAGATATCATCTTCAATCTCCCTTTTCAGAGTGCTGCAGTTTTCAGAGTAGAGGTTTTTGATTTCTTTGGTTAGGTTGATTCCTAGGTACTTCAGTTTTCTTGATGCTATTGTGAAAGGAATTGTTTGCCTTATTTCTGTCTCAGTGAGTCTGTTGTTCGTATCGAGGAAAGCTATTGATTTTGTGTGTTGACCTTGTAACCAGCTACACCACTGAATTTGGTTATTAAGTCTAGAAGACTTTTGGTGGAGTTCTTGGGGACTTCTATATAGAGTATCATGTCATCTGCAAATAATGGCAATTTGAATTCTTCATTTCCTATCTTTATTCCTTTTATTTTTTTCTCTTCTGTAATTGCTGTGGCTAATGTTTCCAAAGCTATGTTGAGCAGGAGTGGTGATAGTGGACATCATTGTCTTGTTCTTGATTTTAGTGTGAAGGATTTCAATTTTTGACCATCTAGTATGATATTGGCTATTAGTTTTTCATAGATGGCTTTTATCAGATTGAGGTAGAGACCATCTATTCCAAGTTTTTGTAGGATTTTTATCATAAATGTGTGTTGGGTTTTGTCAAATGCTTTTTCTGCATCTATTGAGATGATCATATGGTTTTTGTCCTTAGCTCTATTCATATAGTGTATTAAATTGATTGATTTGGCTATGTTGAACCATCCCTGCATCCCTGGGATGAATCCCACTTGGTCAGGGCGTATGATCTTCTTGATGATCTTCTGCATTCTATTTGCCAGTATCTTATTATGGATTTTGCATCTATGTTCATTAGTGAGATTGGCCTATAGTTCTCTTTTTTGGTTGGGTCTTCCTCTGCTTTGGGGATCAAGGTGATGCTTGCTTCCAGGAATGAATTTGGGAGTATTGCTTCCCTTTCAATTTCATTGAAGAATTTATACA